TTGTCTTCCACTCTTTAAAAAAGTGGCTTTACATTTATTTATACTATATTAATGTTTTCTACATCAGTGTGCTGATTCACTGGCAATGTCTTTCTTAACGTTACTGGCGTCAATTGCACTAMTCGCTTTTGGAATGCCTGAAGCCTGTGTAACCACTGTACTTTTAAGTCTCAAAAACTGTATTGGCCTGGGGAATGATGAAGCGAAAGTGTTGGAGACTGCTTGGGCTGAGCTGTTTTCAGGAGCAACTAGATGTCTGATAACCAACCTTTTTGCAGCCTTTCTAAACTTTGAATACATGAAAAAATAAATGATTGGATTGTAACAGGAGGAGAGCTTTGCAAAGAAAGCGGGCATGATGCTCAACAAAGGAGTGATGTCACTTGCAATAAAGCTCGAATACAGAGAAACGATGGCGTACGGTGTCCATGCAATAAGGTACGCGAACACCATCACTACTGACATTCGAATGGTCTTTGTTTGGGCTCGTATTGTTTGCTGTGTTGGAAGTGCCTCGTGGCCCCACCGGGCGGCGGCATCTTTGGTCATCTTCTTCACTTCGATAAAGACGCCGATGTAGCAGAATGTCATGATTATAATGGGCAGGAAAAAGAAGAAGATGAACAAGCACACGATATAAGCCTTATCACTTGGCTTACTGGAATACCACGTGATCGAACAGCCTGCGAATCCTGGCTCAGGGCCATATGATGACCAACCAATTAAAGGGAACAAGCACCAAATAAATGAAAACAGCCAAAGTCCCGCTATAACCAAAGTCATTTTCCGTTTTGAAAGCTCTTGGTTAATCGCCATTKTGACTGTAATCCATCTTTCCACTGAAAGAGCTGTCAAATGTACTATTGAATTCAAGCCACAAAGGGATGATATGAATCCAAAGTACTGACAAATGGCTCCGTTCAAAGTCCACCAATAGCTGGCGTTAGCGTAAGCGCCGACTGTATTTGCTAGAACAGCCATCAACCAATCAGATATGGCCATGCTTAACAGCAGCAAATTGGCASAAGTTAATAGTGATTGGTTGTTTAAAAAGATCACTATGACTGATGTGTTAAGAATGAAGGACAACAGGAGAATGACACAGTATATGGCAGCGATTGGTTGATAGWGGTGTACTTCGAGCAGTTTAATCTCCATGGTTCAATCCGCCTTGAAGTAAGTYGTCAGTCTACAATGAAACAGAAAAAACGATTACGAAGATCGTTGAAGTGAGTGTTTGGGGTGAGGGGTGCAGGTGAAGAGGRTTAGGTAGGCGGCAGGGGGCTAGAAAATTTAACCATTCATAAAATAARCAAAACCTTTTTTACGAAAATTACCCCGAAAAATAAAATCCTCCAAACTCAGTAGAGTAAAACAAGACTCGTACGCAAGACAAAAAGTTTTTTTAAAGGCAATTTTAATTGCAATTTTAAACCTTAGTACATGCTCACTGCCCACTTCGTTAGGTATTTAGTTGAAATTGCAGTTGATTTTTCTACAATGTTGTTCAATTCTCCGTCTGATAGCTGAGAAAAACTTCCATTTTTCACAGGTGTTTCCACTACTTTAGTTTATTCCAATTTGATGAATAGTCCTCTAAGATATTTATATCTTCTAAACAAAATACTGGTTCTTCAAATATGTATAAGATAAGCGAAGGAACAGGAAACTCAGTAAAAAAATGCTGAGCTTTAAAGGGGGATCGAATCCACGCCTAGTCGTCCTAGTGGGATGCTCTCTAGCTACCTCGAATTGCGGTGGTGACGAAGGTCTTCGATTTTTAAAAGGCTGACTGTATCAAACARTTATTTATATATATATGCAAATTAGTTTTTAT